ATAGTATATATTTCTGTATCCATATAATTCGGAAAACAACAATAAAAAATTATCCAAGTTACTTGAAATAGTGCCATTTGTGCTGATTCTTAATTAATTTAAATCGTTTTCTTGGTAAGTTTTTTTTAATTTTGAAAGAATAAGTTCAACTAGAATTCAGCTATTCTGTTTTTAGCTACATATTCAAATTCATATCAATTATAAAATTTTGCTGTGTAGTATGTTATCTAAAAGTAATGAAGGTATAAACTATGTATCTATTATTTGAGAATAAAGTTTTCAAACAAGGAACTTATCATTTTGGAATTCTCCGGGAATCATAAATCAGGTAAGTGCAATGATTTTTACAATAAAAAATTTGCTTGTAAATATTTTTTTTTCATTTGATGATGGTTCTCTACAGAATGGTTTTTTACGTCTGATTAAGAACTATAAGAATAATAAAAAAAGAAACAATATGAAAGTTTTTATTTCAATGTAAAGAATTCTTAAAATCTTTTTTTTATCCTAAGAATTCTTTATTTTCCGTTTTTTAGTTTATAATTTTTTGATAAAAATTGTTCTCAAAATACTTTTTTTGAAAAATTAAATGGTATAACATTATGTGTTTATGTATACTTCTTGTATATTCCAATGTTTGAAGTAATATGATTCAGAAAAGTATGGAATAAAAATTCGGTACTTACGTATTAACGCCACCGCCGCTACAGATTTGGCGGTTTTTAAGTGCCGCCAATCTACACTTAAAATTTTTGCGACAATTCATAAAATAAAACACTTTATTTAAAATCAAAATAGTCAATCGGATTTCGGTGGAAAATGAGCCGATATAGAGTTTAGCATAGATTCAAAACAATCATATCGCCATATGAACTCTGATAAATAAGATTCCAAATGAAATAACATTTCCAAAACGTACGTTTACCAAGATAAAGTTTTATGTTGTGGGAATTGGTACATTTTCGTTTTTTCGGTAAAATATTTCCCTCCTGAAAAAATAAAATTGCATCTTGTTTTGTTTTTGGCAAATCCCAAAGACGAATTTTCGTAGCACTAAAAATGGCGACAAAAAAGAATTGTTTTTTTGTTTTTGTTTCGTCAGCATTCTTTATTTTACGTTTCTTAGTTTCTAAATAATGATTTTTATTGAAACTTGAAATTTTTTGATAAAAATTGTTGTCAAAAAACTTTGTTTACAAAATTAAATTTCATAAAATTATGAGGCTTATGTATACTTTTTGTTCATTTTAATTTTTGAAGTAATATGATTCTTAAAACTATAGAATGTAAAGTTTAAATGGGCCTTTCATGTTATATCATTAAATTTAGTAATACTATTTCTCGGGCATTAGGTTTTAACTCTTATAAGAATATACATATTTTTTTCTGTTAATGTACAAATATTTTTCCGATGTGTTTTGGATATTCCTTCTCTAATAAAAAGAGATACCATTTTGTTTTCGTTTGCATAAGAAAGAATATCAAGCATTTTTCTTTTTTAAATTTAATTAGCCACAATAAAGAAGGAACGTTGCAATGCTACGTGCTACATTAACGACGTCTCTAGAGTAACTGAATGACTGTTCATATAGAAATCGCAGGTATTAGTCTCATACAACAACGCCCCCTATAGTTCTTTGCGATCGCGAATCCTGATTGAAGAAATGATTTTAGCTCAGGCAGTGACTATGTCTCATAAAGTTGTTTGCCTTTGTATCGATTGCTTTTCTGTTGAGCAAATACAAGCAGCTCGAAGCGTTTCCATTTTTATGGTAAATATTTATTCCGCACTTGTTCAAACTCATACTAGAGTTTAAATTTCTTAATTTTAAAAAATATGAATATTTTTTCATCATTTTTCTAAACAAAAACTTCACTTTTTTCTCGTTTTTTCCTTTAATGTACGAAAAGTTTTTGATATCCAATGTGTTTTTTATGTTTATATTTCTTTATTATGCAATGTTTTTTTATTTGGTGCTGAAAACCTTTATCAAATAATTAAACATTAATTATCGTATCTTAGAGACTTGAGGTCTACATTAATCTTACGCTTAATAGTAGAGATTCATGTATAAAACTTTTAATTTTCTAATATTTTTTCCAGCATAGAAAAGCATGTTAGATTGTTTTTGATCACTGAGTAAATAATTTGACATTTTCCGTTGAAATTTATTGCTGAAAACAATAAGCATGATTATTTTTCATGATAAAACTTACAAAATACACAGATTCATTCGGTTAGGGATTATTTTTAATTTAGTTCATATTAAAATTTATTGTATGTTTCCACAATTTAGTAGATTCTTGATAAATCAGCTATTTTAACCACACAGATTTCAACCATGTATTTTTAAATGATTTGTATCAGGATCTTCTAATTTCCGTTTAAATAATTACTTTATTGATACATGTTTATAGTACTTTGAGTTTACTTTTTGAATAGCATCTGAGAATTCACATCACTCAATATTTTATTTAAAAAATATATTGTGGTTCACATCAAACAATCTAATTGCTCTAAATACCCCAAAATGACAATTTTACTAACATTTATGTACAGCATAGATGCATCCCAATTTGTGTTAGGTTCTAAAATAAATCCGTATACGATGAGTATTTAAATAATTCAAGGGAAAATAGAAATTTCATTTAGACTGTGGTTATTTATATAAATGTTTACAATTCTACTTTAGATATTGTAAAATATGAAAAAAAATCTACTAATAAATCTAGGAAGCATATTATTCAAATTCTATATAAGAAAAAAATGGCACCATGGGTGCAAGTCTTCCGTCCCCAGGGCGGCTTTTCGTCTTTCAAAAATTTCCGCGGACGGAAGTAAGACGAAAATCGGAAAAAAAAATTTCTGTCCTTAAAAATATTTTTTAGATCTACGTTATTGGTCTACTTTCTTATGACCTGTTGTTATTTTATCATAAGACACATGAATAAATATTTTTTGTACAGTATTTAAACTTGATGTATTATGGTAAAGATTTCTTAGATAGTTTGCATATGGCGAGGGGGTATTGTGTATATTAGGTATTTCAGTCAAAATATTTTCAGTCTTGGCCTTTTTTCCAACTTGCACCCATGCTAGTTACTGGTAAAGCAGTTATGAAATATTCCTCATAGATGCTCATCTACTCAAACATAACTTTTGCATTGTGCATTGATAATTTGTTTGAATTTTTGCGAAACCAACGGATTCGAAAAAAATCATTTTCAGCACGTGAAATACTATTCTATTTTAATCAGAATTCCGTGCTCATTAAAATTTGACGAAGTTATTTAAATATCATAATGTTAACGGGAAAATCATTATTCTCAGTTATTTCTCATTATCATACTTCATCATGTTTGATGGCCAATGCAGGGGATGTAATGTTAAGTTACATTTCATTAACTGGAGTTCACATTTACTTGAGAAGCATTTACTCATTTAAACTAATGATACATATGGAATAGCAGATTTGTATAAAAAAGAACAAAATCTTTATCTTATATCATATTAACTTTCAGTATACCCCTTACTGAAATGCCTCAGAGAGCATTTCATCATCATATTGATCACTTTTTTATTGAAGTTCTACCCAGTGAATGCATAATTGTATTTAAAACTACTCATTATTGTTAAACGTGAAAAATACAACTCTAGTATAAGGCGTTTTCTTCAAGTTTGTAATTGTTTAATTTGAGAACTGACAGTCTCATTTTTACTGGCACGGATACTTTTACAAAATATAATATACATTTATGTTTAACTGTAGCGATAATACACACATAAAAGATAAATATATTTTTTTAGAGAAATAATTTCTTAAACTAATATCTGTCTAAAAATTTTTTTTTAAGGAGAAAGAAGAAAGAAATTATACTTATTTGCACAAAAAATTGATTTAAAAACAAGAAACATGTTCCGTAAAAATAATTATTTCATTAAACCGCAATTTTATTAAACGCATTTTATTATTTTTCTTAAAAAATACAATTTCAAAACAAAATTTTTCATTTTAATCGCAAAACCTATTTTTTCATGATTCGCAAAAACTAAAACTTATATTTCCTGTAACCTATAAATATATTTTTCAAAAAAAGATTTGTGACAGTTTTTCTTAAAAAATTCGAGTATGAATACTCGAAAACTAAAATTATTTATCGAAAAAAAATGAAAAATACTTTTTCTTTTATAAATCTAAAAATTATTTCTCTAGAATTTAAAGCAGAATTTAATTCTAGAACAGAACTTTTTCTTAAACTAAAAAAACAATTTTTATAAGCATGCAAAAAATTACTTTTTTTTGAAATTCAACATAGGAAACTTATTTAAATAAAGTTATTGTTTTTGTTATTAAAAACTAATTTACATTTTAATTAAAATATAAATAAATTTTATATCTGTATTTCTAAAACAAATGTTGTTTAATAAAAAATGAAAAAAAATTTTTCATCTCTATGAAACATTTTTTAGGATAATTTTCAGAAAATAATTAAAGGACTCACAAAATGACTTTTCTTGATAATGGATTCTTCAGTATAATAAACTTTTAGAGTCTAAGATAAAAAATTAATTCCTTTGAAACTTTAATCAAACAAATGAACTAATTTAATAAAATACAAACTATATTCTTTAAAGAAGAATGTAGTAAGTAGAAAAGTTTCATGAACTTCCAGTGCAGATAACGTTAAGGCTAGATAGGAAAACTGAGTTGCGATGAATAATACATGCCAAGCAAAAACTCTGATTTGATATAAAAACTTACAGGTATTCACAAAAGGGGATGTTTTTGTGCATTTCACACAAGTGCACCACATCTAATGAGAACACTTTTTCAAAGAATCATCACAAAATATAAAACCTTTGTTCAATTTTATTTAAATTCTTATTTTACAACCGTATTATAACTAATTCCCTTTTAGAACTTTCAATTTATTCTTAATTCTGCTATTATATATGACATAACTTCTTTGTTTATTGACGAATTTTACAAGAAGTGATAGTAAAAATGTATTAAAAAATCAAGTAAATATCTTACATTAATTAAGAAATGGCCGCTGGAATCTGAAATATATATTTTCTTATCTCTATACAAATCAAGTATCTATCAAGTAAAAATAGTATATCAATAGACTCAGATCTTTACGCTTAATTCTGAAAATAATGTATAATTAAGTTCCATATTGAAGAAAAGTTTATCCGAGTCCGAGCTTAATCCTAAACTCTCTCTCGTTTTGTAATCAGTATTCATAAAAGTCTGTAGACACTTTTGAATTTAACTCCCAATTTGAAAATAAAGTAAGTTATTATAATTTTTATAATATCAAATTATGAAATGAAGTATTTGCAGTGGGAAAAATTCGCATTTTATGTCTCTTCGATTTAAAAAATTTATTTGTAATTTAAAAAAAGAAAAGAGAATTCATATATAATTGATAACATAATGCACATGTCCACCATTAACTATACGTGTATTGGCGTCAAATGTCCGTTTTGACATCACACCAGATCGGGTACTCCCTCAAGCAAACCATGTATACCCAACCTAGATAGAGAACCAATATTTTCAGGCTCCCGTTAGAGGACGTACTCGAGCGTTGCGATCGCGAATAGTATTTTGCTCACTCTTTTTGTAAAAAATATTAGCTATATTTTTGGTTATTTTAATTAAATTACCTTCACATTGTTGAATTATAAAACAAACAAAAACGAATTGGGATATATTTTAGTTTAGTTTTTAATATCGATTAGAGATAATAATGGTTACTCAGTTCCTCTCCTTGTCTACCACAATTATAGTTTATTATTGTTTGTTTATTATTATATTGTTTGTTATAGTATATTATTGTTTGCCAAGCTCCTCTCATACCGTTTTTCAATCATCTAGAAATTGGTAGACTTTTGACGCCACTTAAAACAGCGGACGATTGTTATGCTTAAGCCATAGTTGATATAGTTAAGGACTCTACGTAAGTTAACACATAGATTAATAATATTTGCGTTATCTTTAATTGTATCCATACAGCTTGGAATGTCTAAATCATGCACGATATTATTATGTTGATATGTTAATAATCTACCTTTAAAAGCAACTTTAAATAAAATCAGGTTCAGATTATGTTTAGCTTTATGAAGCTGTAGCCTGGTTTCTTTACTGTACTTACCACAAATTTCACATTTTATTTGTTTGTCTCTCTTTTTCTTTTGAGGAACTATTATGCTTTCATCAAAAGGGATATTGTCTGACGAAAGGGTATTTTTCTATCAGCTCAGCTTTTTTATATCTCGTAATGCATTGTATTTTTAGTTCTTTAGCAATATTATATAACTCTGGTAGTTTAGGTTTGTTTAATTTATGTAAGAGCATTTGATCTTTTCTAGTGTATTCACCACATTGTTTGAATTTAATCTTCTTAATTCTTTCTTTCTTTGTTTCTGCTATTATATCCTGATCAAATAGAAACATTTTATTAATTTTCTTATTTTCTCTTTCTTTTTTCTGTTTTATAATTTCTCCTATTAACTCATGTTTAGTATAACTCTTACGCTATTACTTTTATTTCTTAAGGATAAGCAGATTATGACATAAAAACTCAAATCTACTCAACTAAAAGATTCTTAGATTTGAATAATCATTTTACTCAGTTAACATTGCAACCTAATATACTATTTTTACTTTTTGTTCAATTTTTAGTTGCTTTAAAATTAGTTCATGTTTTTCATCAAAATGTTTAGTGACATTATGTAAAGTTAATTCCTCTGAACAGGTTTGACTGGAAATAATTTTGTTTAAGTTCATCATAAAAATAAATATAACACATTTGCTAGTCTAGTAGCGAAATATAAAAACTTGTTGAAATAATTTTTTCAGTGTTTTGACAAATTTCTTTGTTTACTCTTTTTTTTTAATATGCATGAAAAGATTGCAAATCTTAATTTCTGCACTTAATTTTACTCTTCAATTTTAATGAAATCATTAAAAATGGAATGCAGATAAGTTTCATACATTAACTTTTACAATCTGAATGGCGTTAACTTTTAACAATCTGAAAATGTTTTTATTTTTAAAAAATCCAACCTGGGTGTGCAACAATTGTCTGATAATTCTATTGGCGAGCTCTGTTAATTAATACAATTTTATCAGTGCTTACATTATAATAAAATTGTTTTTTAGTAATTTTTTATTTTATTTATTGATTCTTTTAGGAGGGTAAATAATTTGCACTGTTGCTGATGTCATATGTATAATCAATGATAAACAATCATACTATTTTTATAGTCCTTAATTTTTTTTATAAAAAAAAACTTCATTTTTTCCTTAAAAAAATTAAAAGTTCTTAATTTTTGCTTTGTTGAAAGAGAGGGAACCCTGTTATTATATGTAATTAGAATTTTACTCATAAAAGTAGTCTGAATGCGCATAAGAGTGAGTATGCACATAAGAGATAAGAGTCATACTGGTGAGAAACCTAATTCTTGTAGTTTCTGCAATAAGAGATTTTTCATGATGTTCTAGTCTTACTGAAATAATCACGTTCATATTGGTAGATGTGAAAAGAGTTTTTACAGAAGACTCATCTAAATAATCACTTGCGCACTCATACTTGTGAGAAACCTTATGCTTATAGTATTGGTTATAAGAGTTTTTCAGAAAAGAGATGTTTAACAGTACATGATCGCATTCATACTGGTGAGAAATTTTATTTTTGTAGTAAATGCAATAAGAGTTTTTCTGAAAAGTGTTATGTAACTGTATACAATCGCATTCATACTGGTTAAAAACCTTATTCCTGTAACATTTGTAATCAGATTTTTTCTCCTTACAAAGTTAATTCCTAATACTGCATCATTTTAAGAAACAAGTTGCCAACAAAGTAATTTTCAGAATAGTTTATCTAAAAGAATAATAATAATTCAATGTATTTTTGATGCATGGGGCATTTTTGACGTCCAAAATAGAAACTTGCAGACAATTAAAGTTCATTAACAGTGTAATAAGAGTATTTCAGAGAAGAGTAATCTGACTCTTGTACTTAAAATTGCTTGTACTTGTTTGTACTTAAAATTGCTAATGGAATGGTCTCCTGTGATTTAAGATTCACTTATTTATTTCAGAAACTAAATGTTTAGAACAAATCCCCATCCAGTCTATTATGGAGTGTCATCAGGTACATTGCACTCCATGGAATCCTTATTCAGCCAGCAATTACCAGTTGGGAGAGTCTGCTTCAGTCAATCATCCAACAGAAGCCCCCAAGACAGATATAATGGAAAACCAGTGATTTGTTCCATCAATAAAACATTTGAAGGCTTTGGGTCTAAAATACCAAATAATGGACAATTGGCCCTCTTTCCATTCATAACTCCTGACTTGTGTAACGAAAGTGAGGCCGTTGATGCGTTCCGTGCCAATGTGTTATGTCCATTACAAAGTTATCTTAATTCGTACAGAATATTCAGAGATGTGCCCCAACCCCCGACTAACTTGTTCTCTCCAGACTTTCAGCTGTGCGATGTTGAAGATTTCCCTTTTCTATGTGTCGAAATTAAACCTTGCAATGCCTTTTGCAAGGCCGACATCACCAGATTTGATACGATGACTCAGCAAGATCGAGCAGAAGAGTTAGCTAAATATACTCCTCTTCCTGAAGGTATAGTTGCAAAAAGATTCCTAAAAAGCATAAAAAGACAAAAAAAAGAAGGTGGAGAAAAGGAATGTATTGGGCAGTTTAATTTTCGACTTGCACTAAGACGATTAAAAGTGTATTTATATAATATGAGATATACTGAAGCTTATGGAATACTGTCTACATACATTCATACTTTTTTTGTAATACTGAAACGAGGGCAGGAAAATAAATCTGATGAATTGTTAGTGTCTCCAGCTGTAAAATTTAATGACTCTAATATACTTCAAAGAATAGGAGAATTTATATACAAGGCACAAACAGCTGTGAGAGATCCCATTCTAGAAAAAGAAAAACTTATCTTATTGCCCTTAAACAAAACTATTGACTCAAAGGGTCAAAAAAGAGGGATCACGAAACCTGGTGGGAAGAGGAGGAAGAAAGATGAAAAAAAATGTAGCCAAAATCTGGGACGCAGTGTGAGTATGGGAAACGTTATTGGAGTTGGCAGAAATGGAAGCGTTGTTGAACTCTTTGATGAAAAGAACCAGTTATTTGCTGCAAAGCTAGTTGGTGACAAGTCCAAGGATAATATTAAAAATGAACTAGACCTTGAACTGAAAAATGAGGATAATATCTATAAAATTTTGAAACCATTACAAGGTGACATTGTGCCAAAGATATATTTTAGTGGATTTATGGAAGGCAGGCATGTAATAGTGATGGAGTACCTTGAAGCTCAATCAATAAATATGCTTCATCATCTATCTAATGAGCAAAAAGGCGCAGCTCTTGCTGCGTTAGAGAAGATCCATCAATTAGGAGTTCTCCATGGAGATATAAGGGAGGAGAACGTTTTAATGCATAAATGTAATGACAAGCAAGCCTACATAATTGACTTTGGCTTTGCAACAGAGTGCAACTCATTTAAAGCGTTTGCCAAAGAAAAACAGGAACTAAAAAATATTCTTGGTATGAAATAGAATATATATATATATATATATCAATGGTCATTTTCCTTATTTATTTGATAAACCATTGATATATTTGTATACAATGACTGAATGTTTGCTAGTTTAGTGTATACTTTAGAAGAAAAAAAATTTTTTATAAAATTAAGTTATACTTGTAGGATAGGTTAATTTTACTTATTTTTTTCTGTCTGGCTGGAAAGCAAATAGTGCAAAGTATTTTTGTATGTTTTTGCCTAATATTTTATGATAAAAAATTCTAAAATGCGCACTTAAATGTATATTTGACTTTGTGAGTTTCTTGTTATATGACTTATGGAAAATTTCTTCAAGCTCTGTATTTTTTAGTTTCTTGTTGTTGGACTAAAGTAAAAAGTTTACAGCTGTCATACTTCATAATTTCCTCTGTGTTGTATAATTTTAGAATTTCTTTTAAAAAATGAGCATTTTTTTAAATTTCTTTTTCTGATTTTTTTTTTTTTTTTATACTTTGAAATAAATACTAAGATATCTTCCATGAGCAGGTTATTAAATTAATTTCACTTATTAAAAAATTATTTTGGTTGTTGGTGTTTTAATTTTTTTGGAAGGGGGGCACACACATCATTGTTTTTCTTTTTTTTGACTAATTAGTCACTAAAAAAATTATATGGAAATCAGGGAGTTTATTTATACACTCTTGATAAAATCATGAAATATTGATGCATTATAAGCAACGAGATAGATGTGTTAAATATATAAATCATTATGTATAAATTTAACCCTTTCAAAAACTATTTTTAATGTGTTACATACAATTAATATTACATTTTCTACCTTATATTCTTTATGTGTAAAGATTTTTTTAGAGACCACCCTTTAAATTATTTTCCTAAAAAAATTAAGGACAAAAGTTAGATAATTCAGAAAATGTAATAAAAACTTTTAAACATGCGGTAAAGCTACAAATTTAAAGATTCCAGAACATCATCTTAACCCTAGCAACGTCATCATATGTATCCCACCTTGCTATGGATTCTTTTTCATTCTCATTTGTAGAATCCCATAAAAAATCTTCGATCCACATTTGGAAGTCCATACTCTGTAAAAGATTTTACAATAACTATAGTATATAAGATTATGAAATTTGTCCTACAACATTCGATAATGTGTTCAACATTCAATATAGCATTGTTTTGCAGTATACATATATACAGTGTGTAAGCATTTTTTCCATTGTTTTATTATTAATTTTTAGAATTCTCAAACTACTTTATACTATACTTTAATTTATGTTAAACAAGAAATTTTAAAATGCAGTGTTTGCCATCTTGTATTGTATATCTTTTGTTTAAAAGGTAACTAAAAAATGTGTGGCTAGACAGGAACAGTTGATTAATTTTACTCCATTTTATTAAATATGATTTGCTGCTTGAAAAGTCAAATTTTTATGAAATCAATCAAATAAAATACTGAGTTATTTAGTGAATATAAACAATCTAGTCCTTTTTAAGTTAAAGGGGAAAAAAAAATTATGATTCCAGATTTACATTTCTATTCAATAGTGCAACATAACTTGTGAGCTCGTATTATCTGCCTTGTGTTATATATATCGTTGAAGTAAAATGACTTGTGTGATTTTACTCGTCTTTATGAAACTATGTGAACTGCTGTAATGAAATTACAAGAAGTACCTACTTAAAAAAAAAAAGTTTTGTCTATCCAAAACATTTAGTGACTAAATATGTGCCTAGTTTTAATAAATATTTGACCTCAATAATTTTTTTTTGTACACGCACTAAATAACTAAAGTTTTGTCATTGACTATTTTTCACACTTTGCAATAGTATCCTGTGCTGTGTATTACAAAACTGTTTATATACTTCTATGTGCGGAACATAGAGTAAATTTTTGAAACATTGTTAGAGTTGTTTATATAAAAACAAGCAAATCAGATGAACGCTGTATAATAATGCTGCTTCATGCAGAGATTTGTATGGCATAACAAACTAAAGAAAAAAAATGTTTTTACATTTATTAAAAAATTTTTACTTCTATTTTTTAAGTGATGTGATGATTCTTTAAGTCTATAAGAATATTAGGAATTTGAATAAATTGTAAAGAATTACTTGTAAGTATGCTTGTTTTTATTCTGTGTTTTAACATATAAGATTTAAACAAAACAGTTCAGTAAACAGACAATCTTTCATGAATTATCAGGATGAAATTTATGTTAGGTAAGATTGAACCATATTTCTAAAAAAAATTAAGTTATGAATTTCTTAATGAAAAAATTTGTGAACTTGAAAATTGTTCACATGAGCTATGTTCAGTCTTTAATGTTTGAATTCGTATAATCAAGCTAACATATATTTCATTAAAACTGTGCTAAAAATATCATAGTCACTAATGCAGGGTGCATAGCGTTTTTGAAAAGTGCTTAAAGGTGCTTAATTTTGATTTTCTTTTTATAAAAGCCCTTAAAGGTGCTTTTTTTCATTGGGTGTTTTTAAAAAGTGCTAAATTTTCCCTTTTTCAAAATGAGACTTTTCCTTTATTATGTTGATTTTCTCTACGAGTTATGCAAAAAGACACAGTTCACATTGTTCTATTCAACGTTTTCGAAATGAATTCAACCCCGATCTATTTCAGTGCATTGTCAGTTCGTAGTGTATGAAAACGCCATTCGTATTTCTTGATTCAAAACTTCATGATTTTTGACAATTGTTAAAAAAAAATGCCTTAAGTTTTTTTTCTTCCGACATGACGGTTAAAACAAGATAAAACCGTCAACTGTCCAACAAACTTTCCAACCCCGCATAATTATGATATTTTTTTTAAAGTGCTTATTTTTTGTTGAATAATTTGGCTACGCCCCCTGTAATGGTAAATCTGGGTTATGATTCCTTGAAAACCTGAAATTATCAGGGAATTTTTTTATGCTGGAAAAATCAGGGAATTTTAAAGAAAAGCTGGAAGTTTTTTCTTAGATATTTTTTTTAATTTCACTAATTTAAATTATTTACTAATTTTCTTACTTTAAATTCTTTTATCCATTATACCCACATTTTTTAGATGGAAATATATCTCCAAATAGTTAAAATGTCATCAACTTAGCTATACTTTGCTTGCATCAAGATTTGCTCCATTATAACCCTGTTAAACTTGAATGTCACTTAAAATTCTCTCATGGTTTCTAAACAATGGGACTGTAATTTAAGAAAGGCTAAGATTGTGCTAGACGTGGTTTATATATTTGCTTCTGTTTTAAAATTCTGTCCGTGGGGTGAATCCATTTATGGCTCAAGTTAGATCTGATGCTTTGGTAGTAGTTTTTTTTTCTATTCTGACAGAATGGGTCAAATTGTTTTTGTATTTTTAACTTAATAAAATTCTCCAAAAATTGGTAGTTATAATTTAATAATAATAGATTTCATAATGCACTCTTTTTCTGAAAGCTTTTGTGTTCCCATTCAAAGAAATCTGTAAATTATTTTTTCTCAGCAAACTAACTAATCACACACTTCTTTACAATCTATGAACAGCAATGTTTGTTACAATTGTTGCATTAATGCTAATTTTTTCTATTTCATTTTAACGTTTTATAACATATTTTAATTTAAAATAAAGTTTTTTTTAGAACTAACTATATATATTAACATTTAATTTTACTGTTTTGTTGGTAAATATTTGATTTTTAATTCAAAATTCGAATTGTATAGTTATCACTATATCAAAAGTTTGTAAACGTTGCTTGCATTCCAGAGATGATATTTCCAAAACTATACCTCCTTTTACCCTAAAAAGCTGACAAAGACTAGGGAATATATAGGAAACATATTAAATGATGTATCTGAACATAAAATATAAATTTTTTAAATTCATATGTGTTTAGTCGGTAGAAGGAAAATGTAACTTAGTGTTTTAGTTATGCGCTGTTCAAGATTCTAGTTGTTAAAACAAAAACAATTATCTATGCTAAACTAAAAAACTGTGTGTTTAGATTGGAATTCTTTAAATGTTTCAATTTCAAATAAGAAAAAAAAATCAAAAAAGTATAAAATTTTAAGAATTTTATCTTTTTTTTCTATAGAGTATAAAACAAAAAATTGACAATTTTACATTTGTGACATTTATTTTAGTATACTGAATCTCTTGGAGTCAGTACCCACCCAGCCTTCAAAAAATCGATTTTTACATTTTTGAAATCTCTTAATCAAGAGCTTTCCAAAGATGTATAGTTTTATGTATTTACTCAAATTTAAAGCTGTTAAATTTTAATTTCAAAAAGTAAACAAACGCTCCTCTAGCTGTGCCACGCCCACATGTCCCGCAGTGGACTGATCGTTAAGACACGGTTCCCAGCAGATTACTGAAGTCAAGCATCACTGGCTGCGGTCAGTGTGAGGGTGGGTGACCACTTGGATCAGTCTGCGTAGGGACGGAGGGTGTGCGGTATTGGTCCTCGTTAAACTGTGCTACCGTAAAGTGCTCGACTTCGCGCGCCGGTCGTCGGGCTACCGAAGCGGGGGTGCCATCCCCTCCGCAGAGGACCAAAATTGTGATGGCATGTCTTCGGATCATCCATCGGAATGTTTCCCAGACCGTCGCCAATAGCCCATTGTGCAGCTCTAGTGCGACGTAAATTAACAAAAACAATCAATAAGCTAAAACTCAAGTCGAAAATTATAATGAAATAGTATCGCTACTTTGTTTCGTTAACACTAAACATACCATAGCCGGTAATTCTATGTTATATTGTGTTGTAAAATGTTGGTATGTTTCGTGTTAATATCAGTATTTTTAGTTTACTTGGTATTAATACTTACCTTAGATATTTTTTTGATGCTGAGCGTTGATATTTCTTTCGGTGCTATTGTCACTTTCTATTATTATTTGAGGATTTTAAAACTCACGATTTTCTTCTTTTTTTTTCCTTCCACGCAATCGTTTAGAACCTTGTTTAGTTAGTTTGACAGTTACTTTAATAAAACAGTTCTTTCTTAATTTGCTAGATAGAAATTTTGCTATCTTAAAACACATGCCATGACGAAAAAGAAAGAAAGAAAAGAAAAATTGACAGAGAACTCTCTTCTTAACCTCTTGAGATGAGAATTTTAAATAAGAGCAGAAAAAGCGATTTTTACTCAGAAATATTTAGCCTAGATGAAAGCAAACTTATTAAACATTTTTTAAATAAATTAAATTTTTTTAATTAACATTTTCAGCTAAAAATATCTCTGTATATTAAAATTATTATATTAATTTTATTGTATTAATTTTAACTGTATATTATATTAATTTTATTTAATTAACATTTTCAGCTAAAAATATCTCTGTAGGGGAGAGTGGGGTCAATTGTAACATTTTTTACTTAACTATTTTTAACTAACAAAAAATCCAATATA